TTACTGATAAAAATAAGATTTACATTCTTCCTGATTACAAACATAATCATAGCACTACTGAATCTAATATCTATCATGTTAAAGCTACTGTCTGACTTAAAAGATGAAGATTTTGCGCCAAAGCTGCTGATGAATGAAAAACAATATTCCAAAGAATAAAGAAAATTATGACGGTAAATCTATTTGATGATGAAGAGGTATAACTTTGTAAACAATACATTTATCTCACCAGTTATATCAAAATTGATTTTGGTTCGCATCAACAATCAACATTAGCTAGATTTCTTAGTATTGAATAAGTGTATTGAATAAGCAAATGAATTAGAATTAGCGAATAATAATAATGGTTTACTTCAAGTATATTTTATTTTTATGTCCAGTCCTATCTTAGACCGGACTCAAGTCCTGAAAAAGTCATAAGATTATTTAAGCTAAAAAAACTTATTATAATTAAACCTATATATACACATCGTATAATACAATGAAATAAAACCCAAATTAAGTTGAAACAATTTCTGCTTCTTTAGGCATATATTTACTTGTGCCTTTTCTAAATCCAACCTATTTCGAATTGGATTTAATGTATGCTAAACATTCGTTCACTTGATACGTTCATAGCTTGTATTGAAAAATAATCATCTGTCATATAAGACAGTGTTATATAATTAGGATCTTGTTTGTAGTTGTTGATTATATTTATTATTATGCTTATAACAAGAATGTATACGAATAAATTGGTAAATGGATGGATGGATGGATGGATGGGCGAATAAAGAAGAATTCAATAGAAAGTGCAGTTGGTTAATTTCCTTTTGTAATACAAATATTGATGACAATTTTTAAAACTATTTATTATTGTTATTATCAATGATTGAATATTTGAATAATAGTAATATTATTATCATTATTTAGCAAGTAAATAAGTTCTGGATAATAATTATTTGGGTCTTTATAAAATTATGATCAGCGTCTTAGAAATTCTTTTTCCCTTGCATTTATTTCATGACAACTAAGTTTATATTTAACAAATACGGCATTAATTCTGTTATTATGGAAAATGATAGATAATATTTAAAATATTTATAAATAAATTCTTTTGTCATCATTTGTTAGTTATGGTAATAATATCTAATAATAATTAAAATGTTGCATCCAAATCAGATCCTGACCAAACTCTGTTTCCAGCACGATCACCCATAACAATTCTTGGTTCATTTGGATCATAATCATCGTGTTCAATAGGTTGCATTTCTTCTATTCCAATTGAATGTTGAAGCGCATTTTGAAGTATTATTTTATTTTTAATTTTTTCTTCTTGTGAAGCCATTTCCTAATATATAGGTATATGTACATGTATATAATAAGCAAAAAATCAAAACAATCAAATAATAAATAAATAAATAAATATACTTCGGCGTTCATTTTAGCAAATTCTTCTTCACTAATTAAACCTTCAATAACGTTTTGTCGTAATTCGGGATTTTTCTTATCGCAAAGATTCCAAATATGTGATCTCGTTGTATCTTTATAAGTTTCGTTGACACTTGAACCACACTTTTTAAATATAAATGATTCGATTTTATATGCTTTTCCAAATAATCGATCTTTTTGACCTATTTTTTTTAATCAATTAAATTTTTATAAACGTACTTTTTAATATATGTTTTTAGATTTCCGGCTTACATTGATTTATATTATCTGATCCTATTAACGATTCATATATAAGCGTGATGCCTAGAAAGAGAGAGAGGATAATATTATATATACAAATAAAATTACAACATAATTTTATTTATAAAGATAATAATAATCATACATCTATCTCTATAATTGTCACCGGTTACGCACTTTCCTAAAGTCATTATGATATTCTATTTTTTATGAAAACAAAAATTTTTTATTTTTATTTTTTATCGTTTATATAGGGTATTTTTAAAAAAAGTTATTAATAATACATAATAAATTGATATTGATTACATCATATGCGTCATGATGTATGTAGATTCACGTTTTTTACAAATGACTTCCTTATATATAAAAAATTTTCTCGTTACACAAGTTTATTCAATTTATTATATATATATAGTTCAATTGAATTTTACAATGTCAACTGAACGTTGTCGACCAATTAGTGTTTCCAATACTTCTACTACCTCTACCTCCGCCACAACTACTTCTGGTGCTGCAACAACAACAACTAATAATAATGTTAATAATGTTAATATTTTGCCCACTATATCTTCAAGTGTAATTGCTTCCACCTCCACACCTATTTCTACACGACGAGAGGAAATTAAACAAGGACAAAAAGTTCAAAAAAACCGATCATCTATCCCAATATCAGCATCTTTATCAATCTTAAATACAGCCACTATTATACAAGAACATGTAAAATTGATTAGTTCAGATGGATTTGAATTTTTGATAGAAAAAGATGCTGCATTTGTTTCACCGACTATGAAAAATATGTTATCAGGTTCTCTCTCCCTATATGTATATGTGTACATGTATACACTAGCTGAAAATTTTTTTTGAATGACTCTTAATAATAATAATAATAATAGGACAATTTATAGAAGCACAACAGAATACAATCCATTTTCCTGAAATCAAGTAATTTAACCATTATCATCTTGCATAAAAAAGATAAATAGACTATATATGTAACTCATTAATATCTTTTCATTTATTATTGTTATTATTATTATCAGAGCTGTGGTTCTTGAAAAGGTTTGTCAATATCTATACTACAAACTTCGATTTCAAAACAGTGAAAGAGACATAAGTGACATACCAACATTCGATATTGATCCTTATATGGCATTGGAATTACTTATGGTTGCTGACTTTTTACAATGTTAAAAAAAGTTATTGTAAATAATAATAATAATAATAATAAAGATACTTGTTTTATCTATTTAAATACAATATATTATTTTTTCTTATTAATATTAAATTCGTGTTCACATTAATTGCAATTAAGATTTATATATAAATATTTAATTGACATTTATCCTCTATATCATATCATCAATATAATATTTATTATTTTCAGCAGCTTTTACAACATGTATTCTTACAACACCAATACAATAAGGATCCTTACAAAGGAATAACAATATTTGTAACCCAATTACCGCCTTGCCAATATGATTTCCAAACTGAATTATTGTTATTAAATATTTACCATCTTTCTCATATTTAGATTTAGCCTTAGCCTTGACCTTTTGTCATTCCACTAGTTCTTGAATACTCAACATAAGTTTCAGGTTGAGCTAAAAATAATTCTTTAGTTGGGTGTCCAAATGTTTTTCGTTGCCAAAATTGATTCCTTACTGGAATCTTTTAACTTTTATTTTTTCTGAAGGAACTCATGATAAAGTAGTTCATCTTGAGTTGGATTTGCTTGTGAATGAACGTCAGTCAGTACCTTTTTCATAAGCTTGCTTTGTAAATTGACCATTTGAGTGCATCACCAGTGTAATGCATAAAATGCTTAAAGACAGTAAAGTATGTTTTAAGTAAGTAATAATTTAATTATCTATTAATTAATCCATATATAAATATCTATTTGTATATGTAAATGTATATATTAATACTCACATAATCAGGTCCTATTTCTCTATTGGGATTGTCACACATAGAATGTGTTTTTGGACCATGACAAGCAGAATCTATATCTAAATTCCTCAAATATTTATTATTATTTGAACCTTAAATTTCTTATAATAGTTCTTGTATAACTTTTGACTAGACATATCAGGTCCTTCAGCATATTTATCATCCTTTTCATCTTCATTGCTAGAAAATTCACTGGAAGTATGTTTACCAGTTTTTTAACCAATTAAGTAGTAACTTGCTTATAAGTTCATTTGCTTTGCCTTTGCAGTGTTCTTTTCATAATAATAATAATGTTATTGCTATTATTTATTGTATTTATTGTTAATAGTTATATGATTAACACAAGCCTTCATAAATTTTTACATGTTCAGAAGGATCATAACCATTCGATCTATCCCTCTTTGCACCATAATCTAATTCAATATCAATCTTAAAGTATATTAAAATTTGCATATTAAAAAAACTCAAAGCTTTATACAATATATATATATGATATCATCTATACCAGACCAATTTTGCACCATACAATCTTGCTGCAAGACCATAATAATGATTTAATTAATTCGATAAATGATCATTATATAAATATATATAGCTCCAACATCACATATCATATTATTAGCTAGATCAGCAGTAGATTCATCATCTCTACAAAGAAGTTTTTGATGCTTAAACTAAGACCGCCAGAATAATATCTAATAATAAAACTTTTTTCATAAGTTGCTTGCTCAATTAAATAATAATAATAATCATACATTGTGCCTTTGCAAGAATATGAGGATTGATTCCAGTTTTTTCTTGTAAAACGTCAGGTATGGAAATGATTTTCAATGAAGTCATTTGTTTTATAATGGGATCTACGTTACACGTGCGAGAATAAGGAAAGGAGGGTTTTGTATTTTAAAAATAAATAATATATAGGAACAATATTGTATGCGTGTGTAAAATTAAGATAATAAATAAAAATTAAACAATTAATATTAAGTCGCCAATTCTAATATTTTTATTTTTAAAACCTTAATTTAGTAAAAAACCGTTTTTCCTGATTTATATCTTGTTTGCAAAGATTCTTTTAAAGCTTCTTAACTGTTGATCGTTGACATGGGTCTTTGAAACATTCATTGTTAACTGATTGTTTGACGCCCTCCAATCCAAGAGTATAATTAGTTGACATTAAATGATTACAATTGATGACTTTTGGCTTTTATAAAAAGCTTGACCTTAGATTGTTTTACGTTTTATCACTTTTAATGGATATCTTTCTATTTCAACTACTATTGCATGACCATATGGATGTTCTTTAGTGCCATCATCAAAATTTCTTGCAATCACCACTTTTTTATATTTACCAGACAACACTATTGCAACTTCCATTATGAACAAATCTTTGTGATGTTACACATGTTTTGTTCATGATTCAATTATCCAATCAAACCATACAATCATCTTGATCTGATTTCCACTTGCTCTATTTCTATACGTATATATATATAATATAATTAATAATTTTATAAATATGGCACCAATTGGTGTAAGTTTTTTATTTAATAAAATTTTATAGTTTGTATCAAGTGAAAAGGAAAAAAAGTATTGTGTTTGTAATAATCACTCAAATTTATTTATATAAAAGAAAATTCATTCCTATCCCAACAATCCTCGTGTATTCAAAGCGCTTATTGCTGCAATATATAATGGTGTTGATCTTGAAGTTTCAGAATTTGAATTTGGCACAGATAACAAAAAACCAGAATATTTGGAAAAATTTTACACTGAAAAGGTACAATTAGATTTCAAGATTTGCACTGGTTTTCTTTTTTTAGTTATAAAAATATTATTAATATTTTCTTTTCCTTTATTGTTTGGCTACTGGCTCATTTTTTAAACGATAGGTCCCCACTTTTGAAAATAACGAAGGCGATACTTTTCTTACTGAACCTAATGCAATTGCATATTATGGTAATTGAAAAATTTATATATATCAATTTATAAAAATGATGAAATATTATAAACAGTTATCCCTGACTGATCAATTTATGATTGAGATTTTGTTTCCTGATTTTAAAGCATATTCTAAATACTCTAAATAAAATTTACTAAATCATTATCATCATAATCATTAATATCAATATTATTTATTGTGAAATTAAATAGTTGCTGGTCAAAAGGAAGGTACTCAATTATTAGGCAAGGATAAAAAAGAAACAGCAAAAATTATAAATTGGGCTTTTTTTGCCGAGAATGAAGTTGCTCCACATGTCAATACTTGGATCAATCCTATTCTGGGAATCACTCAATTTAACAAAGCTGTAATCTATTATTATTACTGTTATTGTTATTGTTATTATTATAATTTCAAAAACTTAATTTTAATCTTATTAACAAATATATATGATTTTTACTTTATTAAAAAAAAACTATATAGGCTCATAGTTTAGCTGTTAATAGTCTTAAAAATACGCTTAGTAATTTAGATAAAATTTTATTGAATCAAACTTATTTAGTTGGAGATCGTATCACATTGGCAGATATTTCAGTTTCCACTGCACTTTATTTGCCATTTAAACTTGTATTGGATGCAGAATTTCGTAAAGCTCATAAGAATCTTAGCAGATGGTATATAACACTTATTAATCAACCACCTTTTAAGAAAGTTTTAGGAGATGTAACCTTAGCAGATGTTGCAGCAGTCTATACTCGTAAGCATAAAAGAATTTATATATATTTATATATTTATTTATTTATTTATTTATTTATTTATTTATTTAATATACTTGTTACCCACACACACATATAGCTCCTAAAAAAGAAAAGAAAGAATCAAAACCAAAAGAAACTCCACAACCAAAAAAAGAAGTAGAAGCAGCAGCAGATGACGATGATGAAGTAAAACCCGAACCAAAACCCAAAAGCAAATTAGATTCATTGCCACCTAGTAAACTTAATTTAGAAGAATGGAAACGCTTTTATTCTAATAATGATACACGACCAACTGCTGTCAATTGGTTCTGGGAGCATTTTGATCCAGAAGGCTATTCGATTTGGCGTGTAGATTATAGGTATAATAGTGAGTTGACAAAAGTATTTATGAGTTCTAATCTTATTGGTGGTTTTTATAACCGTTTGGACCGTGCTCGTAAATATGCTTTCGGGAGTTTGGTAGTGTTGGGTGAAGGTAAAATATATATATTTTTTTAGATTAAATTTTTTTTTAAAAAAAAAAAGATTGGCTTATTTGTTTGTTTGCTTATTTATTTAGATAATAATAATGAAATTGCTGGTTATTTTGTTATCCGTGGTCAAGAAATACCAGAAGAAGGTTTGTCATTCTAATTTAATTTCTAATTTCAAAAATACTAAAAATAATAACTTTAATATTTCTATTTTTTTTTTTTTTGTTTATAAAATATAGTATCTGATGCTGCAGATTTTGAAAGTTACATATTTAAAAAAATCGATCCTTCAGATTCTAAAGCCAAGGAAAACTTTGAAGCTTTTATTGTAAGTATTTATATTGATATTACTGCCATTACCTAATAAAAATGATAGTAATCATTGATTTTATTTATTTATTATTATCAAAGGCTTGGGATGATGTTTTGGATGGTAAGAAGTTTGCAGATGGCAAGGTCTTTAAATAATCAACCAATGAAGATGATAATACAGTGAAGATAAGATGATGATATCACTACTACTTACTATTAATTAATTTGTACATTTAAATAAATTAAAATGGATAACATTTTCAAATAATAACAATTATTACTATTATTAAAATAAAAAAATTATGCATTATATTAATTATGCACAAATTTAAAATACATACATCTTTTTAAAAAAAAAGCGCGTAAATTTTTTATTACGTAGATCAGCAGCACCAAAGATGATCTTCTTTTGTTCCTCTTGTATCATTTGTTTTGGTTGATTTGTTCCATCCTTGTATAGCATTTTTGTAAATTCTCTCTTTTTTCTATCATAATTATTTATTTTAGGTCAAAATTAATTTCTAATTCTTCTTTTTATTTTTCTTTTATTATTATTATTATAACAAAGATCACGATAGCAACGGATATAACCCTACACAAATTAGTATGTACAAGATTTTTTTTTTGGAAAATATCAATATTGTAAGTTTACATATAGGTATAGCTTTGTGTGGATTGTTATTTATTAAATTTTAGTGAATATGGCAAAAAACCATCTTTTCAACAACTCATCAAGTTTATAAATGTAATATTGGATAAAAATCTTAGCTTTGAAGTAAAAAGTAATACTGTTTTTGAATAACTATAGCTTGTCATAGAGAGCCCCTATCAATATGAGAGAGGATTCATTAGAAAGCTATAATGACATAATTTTATTTAGATTAATCATGATTGATACTTGAATTTGTTATAAACTACGATCGGTTACACAAACCGGAGGTTCTATTTTACATTCCACTGAGAAAAGAGAGGGAGCGAAGAAAAATAGATAAATCCTTTTATCCTGTAATGAAATCAAAATTAATTTCGCCATTGAAGGAAAATATGCAATGGCTGGACATATATAATAAAATATATACAAATAATTAAACAAATAATAACATAAAATAAAGAGAGATACATATATAAATAATATAAAAATAATTTCCATCATATGGATCGTTTTGAATAATTGTCTGAATCGGGTATCTCTTCAAATAAGATTTCTTACATAATTTATATTAATCATCCATCATATGGATCGTTCTGAATAATTGTCTGATTTCTTCAAATAAGATTAAATGTTCTTTCTCCTTAAAACGATTGCAATAAAGTCTTTTTGAAAAATGAATTCGATCTCCTTGAATTGCGCAGTAATTTTGACGTGTCCTTTATTCCCGCAGGAATAACAGGCACGCCTTATTTGGTTGGTTCATGATATAGTTTATAATTGGTTAGGATTTTCATGGAAATGAGCGAATTAATTGATAACTCGTTTAGAATTAAGTCAGTGCTGCGAGTTAGAATTCATGATTTGCTTGTTTAGTGATTTGAGTTTTTAAGAAAATATACAATTTAATTAATTATACAAGTGCTTTTATCACATAATTAAATAAGTGATGACAGCAGTAAAGATGAAGCCACAATTAGATGTGGGGTCTTCCTGATGAACTTAAATGATTATCTTTTCATTTATCTGTCCTACTACATTGTCAAAAATGATCATTATCACATGTTGTTATGTAAAAATATTAGTAGTTTTATTCGGTATCATTTTGTAACTTGCCCATTCTTTTCGATTTTTTGCCTTTTTCATCAAGATAGTGTGAGACTATGATGATAATAATAATAATAAAGATTAAGAATTTGTTACCAATTATGAATGGAGAGCGGTATTATGAATAGTTTGGGTTACGTTATTAATTTGATAATTTGCAGGATACTTTTTATCATTTCTTTATTCAAGAAAAACTTATAACTTAAAAAGTTATCTTGACAGTGCATTGAATTCATAGTGTTTTTTATTTATGTTTGTGATTGATCGGCTAATTTGAAATTGCACGCGTGAATTTCAAATTTCAAACATAAAATACATACAAATAAACATGTTCACATAAAATGACTTTAGAATATTATTACCATCCTTTCTCACACAACATTTAAATGTTACCAATATGTAGGAATAACATTATCATACAGGAATGTCGGGTCTGTATAAGCATTAATGTTAGCAACACGTTTGCATACCATTCACTCCATATATAACGAACCACTTTGGCTTGGGAAAAAATGTTCGTTATAAAGAGAATTAATAAATTTATCTATGGGACATGTAAATTGGGTTTAGATTCTTTATAGAAAGATCTGTTATTATGTATTACGTAATAGTAATAAATAGACAAATAAAATTTATAGAATTGAATTTCTACTTAAAAAAGATTAATTATGACTAGTTGCAACATATGAAGATTGGATTGCGGTTCCCATCTTTAGGCAAGATACATTGCGGCAATGTTTGGCTGTATATTAACAATTACCTTAACCCGATAGTTATATTTAAATCACGGAACGTATTCGGGAAACCAGATGCAAAAAAGTGATTCAATCAGAAAATATTTTAAATATTACTATACTGTATATAGGAAAAAAAATTTTTAACATAATAATGACAACCCTGCTAATAACTACTCTAGTGGTTTAATAAAGATACAAACGATTTGGAATTTGGAACATGCAATTGTATCATGTGGTTTTTTGCTGGATTTTACAATGGGTATTTTTATTTTTACTTATGTTTAAGTTCCAGGTGTTAAATATTGCACATTTTGGGCCTGTTCTAGCGGGTAACAGTTTCTGTGGTAAAATTTTATATGTTTACTAGGGACAATTATTTTTTTTTGTAACTCATGTGTTATTTAATAAAACTATGATCACCTCAAAAAGCGCTTGGATCTTTTGGTGCAACATTTTAACCATTTTTATTAATGGCAATGGACTAGACTAAAATTCATTGTTTTCATAATTTACATTAGAATTTTCAATGTTTTGATTAGAGGATGTTCAGGAAGCCTTTCCAATTTTTCAATTTCACAATGATCTACAAAAACATTTCTTTATGAGTGAGAGGCATATTTTACAGAGCATTTGTTCAGAATAAACCATTTAATTGGATTGATTGAATTGAATTTATGTGAGTTTCGCTTTCTTCTGTTTGATAATCAGGATCAGAATAATTATTTAAAATATTTTTTTTAAACTATAATTAGTTGGCAAATTTAAATTAAATTTATCATACGACAGGTATTATGTAAAGACCCTCGGGAACCGTAGTGTTAATGCTACCCGAAATATAAGGAACATATTTTTGTATATAAAGGAGAAGGACTTGAGATTTTTAGGAAGGACTTCAATTGACCATTGCTATGACAGGAACATCTGGCTGAGCAATAGCGGTAACGAGATTTCCATTTCATCACAGTCAGCGATAGGATTGGTTCTTCAACGTAGAGTGTTCATGGCACAATGATCCATATCTTTTTTTAATATCTTGCATTTACTTGATAGATTATATACATCCTAAAGAAACATCAAATATCCGGTAAATGTGTGTTTTTATTAATTAATAATTGGTTTTAGACAGACGGCTCGATTAATTAATTAGGAAAAACTTTCTTTATCATTTGACGAATACCCAAATGAGAATCTTGCTGTGTAAATTATTATAATTAGTTCGCTGTTATATATGTGTATATATATATCTAATGCGGGAACCATTCGTGTGTTTTTAGAATTAACATTATATCAATTATTGTAAAATTATTCAGGATCTTTCGTCTAATTCGCTATTATTATTTAACAACAATTACAGACAGTCTAATGTTTTTTAGTTCCAAAAATAAAAATATCAATTGTTCACGTTGATCAAATATAGTAAGTAATAGTCGCACAAGCAATTGCTCATGTAAAATCTTTGAACAACACGTAAATAACACGTAAATTGGAGTCTGCAAATTCCTGTAAAGTACAAAAATGGACAAAAATTACGCGTTTAGTGATCCTTGAATTTTTATATATATCAATTAACTTTTTTTTTTAATCATTAACAGACAGATATATTCTCTTCTCGCCTTGATAACAAAAACAAAAAAAAAGTGAATTAATTTTCTTTAAAAAAAATTTTTTTAACACACGTCTGTTTAATATCTCTATTTTTTCTTTGATAAATTGAAAATATAAATTTATCATTATAATTATTATTAATTATGGAGCCACTTTCTCCACCACTTTCTCGTAATAGTTCTCAAAAAGTTTTTTCACCTCTTTCACCTTTTTCTTCATTTGATATACCTAGTCCTACTGATGTCCCATATTCAAACATTACTACAACTACAACTGGCAATGGTGTAAAATCATATAGATACAAACCGTACAGAATGAGAATATGTGATGCGTCTAAAAATCTTAAAAAGGCGATCAAAGCGTACCATAAGAAAAATCATAACACTGGTAATAATAATGGGAATAATGAAAATAATGTTGGTAACAATAATGAAAGTAGAAGTGTCGATAACGCTAGTGTCAATAATAATATCAGCATCGATGATAATAACAACATGAGTAAAAGCGGCAATCAACCCATCAATACAAAAGGTAGAAACAGTTCCAATAACCGAGCTTCAAAATTAAAAAGAAAATCCAATCCTTTTCCAATAAGACCACCAAGTAATGTTCCTTCTTGGACATTAAGAATTAATATCTACGAAGAGTATCAGAGAAATCCTAAACCAATGGTAGCAACAGTATACAAAGAGACGATGGATATTTTTTCTTCAAACAAAAGAAAGCACGGCGATAATGATAGCAATAATGGTAATAAATTGTCAAATAAAAAAATTAAGACCAACAGCACCAATAAGACCAAACCATACACTTCAAATAGAGGCAAAAGGGGTCCCCAACAAAACTTTAATTTTGAAGTTATCGCAAAAGAAATCGATCAACTTGAGGTTGATCATTCCACTTTGATAAATCTCAATCATAAGGTTAAATGGCCTTCCAAACCACTCGACATTGAAGACATGCCACACTACAACACATTGCATCAAAAAGAAGCTGAAGTCGCATCCTCGCTTCGAATGTCACCTTTGCAGTACCTAGAATCAAAAAAGATACTGATTACATCTGCAAGGGAATATAGGCAACAACAAATCGATTTCAAGAAAAGCAACGCACAAAAATTATTGAGGGTCGATGTGAATAAGGCCAGTAAGCTCTGGGAGTTTTTTACACGCGCGAACTGGTTTTAAAACGTGTCTCTCAGTAACTTTTGTACATTGGTGGCAACCAGGTCATGTCGTTATATATTTTATTTCTGATCATAATTAGAATTAGAATCACCATACCAGCCACAATAATATTTTCTCATGTCATTATTTTTTTAAAAATTATAATTAATAAATATATAAATAGCTATTTTATTACTTGTCAAATCCAAATCCAATACATATTAATTACAATATGTATGTATGTATGTATATTATTATTTTGAAGTAAAATTAGGAAAAAAACCAGAATCTGAACTTGATAATTTCAAAAATAAATAAATATATATATGTGTTAAATGGTGTGTGTATATATAATCAATAATATACATCACGTGGGGGTGATGTATAGTTTGATGTATGGTATGGTCTCCCTCCATTTTCCCTGGTCAAAAATGCGCCACACCCTCTACAACCTATAACCACCAAGTCTTTGCAGAATGTAATGGTTTAAAAGCTTTCATACTATATTACTTTATACTTTCAAAGCACCATTCCCAATGCCAAAATATCGTTCAATTATGAATCATTTACATCAACTGTTACACCAAGACTTCTATTGGCAGAAAACCCTATTAATGCATTTACCTCATTGAATACACCTATTGGCAATTTGTGGAATTGTCTCCTTTTTTCACATTTTTCTAAAAATATTTGATCAGTTGAAGAAATTGAGGTATCTTCAATGATAGCACCAGCATCATTCCAAGAAATTATAACCATTTCAGGACTTGTCATTTGTGTATTTTCAGCAACTTCATTTGCAAAATCAGTTATAAACACAATTGAAAAAATTTCTTTAATGTTGATGTAGTTTAATTGATCAAACATTCATGATAGGGTTATGAAGAATAGTTTTTCCAGATTCATTGAATTTCGTGACAGCAGAGATACATTGTGTAAATTTAACAAGTCTTAATGCATGAACTGTTAATGGTTCCTTGAAACATTTGTGAAATTGTCATTGCTGTGACTTGTATTTGCATTTATATTTGTAATAAATAAAGGTTTTATTTTTTTATCATCACCATTACCAAGCCTTTATTTAGATCATTTACAGCTCTTGAAGGTCTCAGTAATTGAACCAAAGTCACCACCATTGTAGGAAAATACTCAATTTTGTTCAATAGATCAATACATATGTATGTGAATGTGTAAATTGATTTATCCTTTACTGTTCATACATATGCCAATAGCCTATATTTTGTTTACGTCTATAGAGATCTATAAAATTCTTAAATAATTCTAAATTTAGTTCCTTTAGCTTAATCCAATTACTAAATATTGGAATTAATTCTTGAACCAAATCATTTTCATATAATATTCTAGATTTAATGATTCAATTAACATTCAATAAGGTTTGCCATTAATCTAAGCTTTTTAATATTTTCCCATTGGTAGTAATGAATTCATATATATTTAACAAAGAACCTCTAGAAATAAATTCTACATAACCTTTTCAACTTTTGTACATATAACTTTATTTATGTTATTAGTAATACAGATATCAGATGCTAAGCAACTATAATAATTATCCAAAGTTTCCAGGTGTATTACTATTACTATTACTATTACTATTACCACCAACACCAATAATATGATCTGAAAGACTAAATCCCACACTATGATATTTAATTAATGTGACAATATTGCTTCTTTTAACTCGAATAAATTCATATCACTATCTTGGAATTTTTTTGTGTTTTCTTAATTTTATTTTGTGCTTCGATCAATCTAACTGAGCCACCACAATTATTAGCATTGAAATATTGATTGTAATGAACTAAAAGTTCTTGAATTTTTGTACAGACATTTGTCAGTTTATCAATATTTTCTGGTTGATAATAATGATTTGCTAAAATCAATTCATAAATATTCTAGAATCAAACTGTTGAAATTAGCATGATCAATAAAAAGACAAATTTTTGAATTGGCAGCTTGGATTTTTCTGATATTTAAATAAATATCCAAATTAGTGTAAACTGCCAATTATTTAAATTATGTGATCCTTCCATAAGATCCAATTCAGTAGCAAATTTTTACATAATTGTATAAAGGTGACTGGCTTCTTTGATGGTTTATATGAAATGTTATTTTTAATAATGAAATATTGATCCTCCCTCCACCAATAAACAACTCATTATCATCAGAATACTTTTAACAAAGTGTATTTTTCCATAATGTTGCAATGCTTATGTTGTGTCAATGTTTATTAACTAGAATGCAAGAATAAAGCCATTTAAATCTTTCTCTGAATCGGAATTAAAGGGAAGCTATTATTATATATATGGGGCATACTGTAACAAAACCAGACAAAGTGAACATTGGTATTACCATTTGTTATCTTCTTAATATTAAGTGATATATGAATTACCTCTATATAAAAATAGTTAATATGAAGTTATTTTACATTAGGTCTACCATAGAGCCCAAAAATTATAGTAGAATTAGAGGTATTTTGAAGAAAGAACAAGGTGAAAAAATTGCTCCTTACATTTTCAAAATAAATAATACCCAGACACTGGAAGTTTATCCAAGAAAAGAAAGATTGCCTATGAAATTTACCAATAAGAAAGAAAAATAATAAATGTTAGGAAAAGAAAGCATCATGAAAGTGCATTATTACCCAATAAAAAGCAAAAATCCTTAGAAGGAAAATAATCTTATTATTACAATATTGATGTATTTCTTTCTTTTAATTCTTTTAATCATGGTAATTATAAAACGTCTAAAGAAGTTATACCTGCTATCATAATCAGATTTATCATCACAATTTCCTTTATTCTTTGAAATATTGTTTTTATATTTATCAGCAGCTTTCATTTTTTAAGTAGTTTTAGTGTAATTACATTTGTAATCAGGAAGAATGTAAATCTTATTTTTATCAGTAATATCCTGTAGCTGCTTTTTTTATTATCATCAATAAGGGACAAATTAGCAAGTGATGAAGTCATAGAGGTGATTTTGTTCCAAATTTTTTATTCATTGCCTGTATAGATTGGTCATGGGCAAATAATATCTTTGTATTCATCTTTCACAAATGGATGAATATTCTTGTCTTTTGTAATCCAAAGGAGGTGTTAACACTAAAATAGATAAAGATTTAATTTCTTCAAAAATATCTGCTTTCTTGGTTTTTAATAAATTGAATTCAGTAAAAAATCCATTAGCAATTTCTTGAACTTTCACTGTATCAAGATTAGAGAAAATGTTGATATCTCTGTATGCTTGATAATTTCTTCCCAAAATAGATTTGATATCCAAGTATTGAAAACCTTTTCCACCTTTCATAGCATTGAGTTTTATTCAATCCTGCTGGACTGGATCTTTTCACAATATCAACCACATGGTCTAGACAATCTACACTTGTTTTTCCGTAGAGTTTTTTAATCATCCAAAATTACCATCACATTTGACCTTGGTATGTCCAGGAATCATGAAATTCAATTTAATACTTTCATAATAACCACAAATTACCAAATATAAATAGAACCAAATTGTTACATTATTTTTATTTTGTCCACCAGCATTATTATCACAGGTAATCTTTAAATACTTTCACCTTGTTCAATTTCTTGATTCCATCAAATATCATGCTAAGTGTGCCATCTAGTCCTTTTCCTATGATTTTATCTTCATCAAGAACATAATTAATTTGCTCCCTTGCTGCTTCATCTTGAATACTAAATAAATGACTAAGATAATAGATTTTATTTACTTGTTGATCTGAATGTGGTATATGAACATTTGGGCTCAATCATAACTATAATGTGCAGTAGCATTAATACTGCAATACTGTGTTTTACCCTTTGAATAATGTTGATCAACTAGTTTTCTTTGTTCTTTTGTATTTTTATTATAATAATTTCTTTCTAATCTTGCCTTGGACAGATGTTCTTTAAATCTTTGAGTGAATCTTTAGCCCCTTCCTCTTGGTGAGCATTGTAATGTAAACCATTTTGAAAATGTTGACAAGTATCACACAAGTCAGTCCTTGGACTCATAATTTGAATCTCTGGTGT